TGATTGAAAAAGTGATTAAAAAACGAGGAAATAAATTATATGTGAAGTGGTTAGGCTTTGATGATTCTCATAATAGTTGGATCAATGAGTCAGATGTGTAATGTGCAGAGATGTTTTTTTTATCTACTTGATGTGTATCATTTGTGAAAAGGAGATAAAATTGAAAAAAAAACACATAATTTTTGTATATTCATATTTATTTTTCACCTTAATCCTAAATATACAATGTATGAAAATATATATATTTATAATTATACACTTGGTTTAGTATACCCCCAAGGTAAGGTATCTATCATGTTCGTAGAAATCATACGCTTATCATCTTCCCAGCTCAATGCTAATTTCTTCTGACGGATTGTATGCACCTCATGTTTCTTACTCCGGATCAAATATTGATCTTTCACAACATGCTCATTATTGAGGAGACAGTTCTTATAGTCATTAAAAGTGATTTTCCTGAGTGTAGCAGCTTTAACACCCTTAGCTTTCTTCTTAGCTTTTTCGTCATCCAACATCCTGAATGTGTATGTCTTCGCTCGCAATCCCACAAATTCAACCATGATTTTACCATTATTCTCATCCTTCATAAGACCCAATACTTTCTTGTTTGCTAGCGGCATTCCATAAACATTATCCTCTTTGTAGTCAGAGGTATCGAACATGTGTATGTCTCGTTTAACACACTCATAGATATTGGGTACTTTGAACAAATACAATAAACTATCTATATATGTGTACATCAATTTCGCGGTGCTCCCAAATTGAGTTTTGACATAGTTGTAATGGAAGTCATACACAACCGTTTTCGATAAATCGAGGATGGCAAATCCAACGTAGATGGGTTTCTTGAAGTACACTGACGTCCGATTCATTTCAATGATAACCATATCATCATCGAAGATCATATAGCTATGAAAATTAGGTTTTGCTATCAAAGCTTTTGCTCCATACCGACCAACCCAGTGTGTAACGAGCTTAATATCTTTGTGTTTTCTAACATTCTCCATCGTTTTTCCGAATACAGCATTATTCATCAATTTGTAAAAGTTTTTTTCGAATTCATTCTTTGATGCTTGTCTCTTCAGAGTATTCAGTTCAATGTAGGGTTTCAACCAAGGCTCCTGCTCGAATTTCAAAATACGATGAATGTGTTTTAGTTTCATACCAAGTGCTGTGTATTGTTTCAAGTTTCGATAGTGTATGACATACTTCTCCTTCGGGAAAAGTGTTGTCACTAATTTTGCATGTTTGCTTCCTGGTGGGATTAAATGCTCTGGGCAGAGAGGGAAATCCTTATGCAAATCATGTAGTCCGTTCGGATATTCCAAATCAACTTCAAGAATGTATCCAATTGGCGAGTCATCAGGAATATTCAGAATATCCACAGAAGAAGGATCAATCCACTCAAATGAATCACGAGGCAGGCTCATACACATAGCAGCCCCATACAAATTGTTCACATCATAATACATTAAATATGATGTTTCTGTAGATGAATCATAGAGTTTCTCCCCCATAAATGGATTATTAGCATGAGCATATCTATTTGCACACTGAGATACCCCACCTCTGATACCTTTTTCAATGAATAAAATCATTTCTGTATCTGTAAGAAGCTCCAAACTCACCTTTGTATGCTTCAACATAGCATCGAAGGCTAAACCAGGTGCTGTATAATAATGCAAAGGGTCCAACTCATATGTAGAGAGGCAATTGTGACGGAAATTTTCGAAAATGTCAGCTAGCAATAAGACATCAGTCTGTAGATAAAGATCTGAATACTCCCCCAATGTTTTAATATCAAATTGTCTCCACACACTCAGAGCATGCTGATAATCTTCATCGGATACATGCTCATCCATCAGTTTTGAATAAAACGCTTCTTTCTCTGGTAATTTCGTTTCATCCAATTTACTCCAATCATCAATATATTCATAGGGGAATACTCCCTTTCTGCACAGAAGATTGAATTTGATGGGATCTGGTTGGTATTTTTTAGTGCTTTCTTTATGCACATCATCAAGATAATTTGCTAATTTTTGAAGACTGCTACCCATAAATCGGAACGAATCGATGAATCTCAAATTCACGCAAGTCCCTGGGATCCATTTAGTGAATGAGATATAACGTTCTTTATTCACAGGAAGAATTTTTATATCCCCCGGAAATGATGTTGCNAAATCAAGATAATGATGTATATTAAAAGATAAATATATATATATATTTTTTATTAAAAAAATCCATGGTCTCATTATTCTATATACACACCTTCTCCCCATCAACATCATAATAATAAGAGTAATAATAATANAATATGCTGCCCCACGATATTTTCCTGTTAAATGACTAAGATCACGAACCTTGTCCCCATCACTTAAAGGATTCTTACAGATGTAGCACTTCGCTGCTGATTGAAAATCTTCAATTTGTTGGGGTCATAAATTTTCCATCTTTAGATTAGCTTTCAAATACCGGTCAGCTGTATATGCTAGTTGTTGCATTTCCATCGAAAACCATTCAATACAATCATGACCTCGATGCGTTTTGAGTTTTGATCGAGAATCATCAAAAGCACAATGCGTGTAGTATGCGAAGCTATGGGCAATATGATGATCATTCTCCCCCTCCGGTTTTATCAGAGATTCTAGATCTGCGTAAACTGCAAATGGAATTTTTTCTCCATGCTTGAAATTTTTGAATTTTAATATCTTATCCTTCTCATCAGGTATAATCATTCGTACTTTGTTCAGATTAGTACAATCTTCCCTATGTTTCTCGAACGAAGCTTGATGTCTGATGTGACAAAGACAACGATCACATAACCATGTGAATGACTTTGCTTTGGAGATTTGATTGCTGACTAGTCGTGACAAGTTGCGAATCCAAGCGAAATGAAAGGTTGATTCATCAGACAATTCCGCATTGCTCTCCACCATCAATAAATGGATTGTATCTCGACTTGTAATCTTCTTACTCAAGTATAAAGGAACTATGGTATTCTTGCGAGCATGCGATTCTAGGCCATAAACATGAATCCTCAAATCATTCATCTCCTCAAACTTGGGAATTTCTTTGAGAGTCATTGGGAAGGTTAGACCTTCATATTTGAGTACAGTGCGAAAATGAGGATATGAACCGAGTGAGCAGGCATTTTTACATGTCGGATGAAGAGCGGCCGTAACTGCCCACAAAAAACAAAATTGATCGAAATTTTTTATATTCACAACAGCTTTCCTAGCTTAGATGTCATTTGGAAGCTCAGTGAATGTTGAGGCTCCACCTTTCATGGGTTCGTACTTGTTAATATTAACAACCAAATTCACTATTTCACTGAAGGTCCAGCCGGAACCCATCTCTTGAAAATCTTCCAGTTTGACAATGAAATGATCTATTATGGAATAATCAAACCAATCACTCAGGTTTGTTCCAGGCAGAATCACTTCATTTTTCGATGTGAAATGTTTCGTTTCTTCTTGAACTTCCTCTGATTTTATGATTATAAATTTACATGAAAGCACGCAATTGACCTTCACACCCCCTACATCACTCAAAATATGATCCAATTGACGGTGAACTAGAACTTTACAATCTTGAAGGAAAGATTTGATGTCTTTATGAACCAAATTGATGACAACCCCTGTCTTGATTCGATTTTCGAAGGCAGATTGTAAATTTCTCCATTTCACTCGATTGGAAATTTTCTTCACTGATTTCTTCTTCTGCATTTTACCACCATGTTTGCTGTGATATTTAAACGCTTCAATATACCACAGTAGTTGTGCAATTGTTGCTTGAATTCCACTCCTTTCACCACTGGACTTTGCATTTTTCAAGTATTTGTTCAATAATTTAATATTTCTTTCTGTTAAGGTCTTCAAGTTCTCAATCTCATCTGCATGAACACGAGGAAGCAACTCATATGCTTCTCTCAAAACTCGCAATAACTTCTTTCCTTCTTCATCCATCCCAAAAGATGGAGTCGACACTAACTGGTTCAGGATGGTTCCCCACCTCTTTTATACTCAAACGATGACTCATACCATAAAGAAAAAAAGTATGANCAATTGAAAACTAATTCTCTCAGTTTTATTTTCTTGCTGATCCTTCACAGGTTCCATCGTTCAGATTAAATCAGCAGGTTGGTGGCNGACCTCTGTCTTGATTCGATTTTCGAAGGCAGATTTTAAATTTCTCCATTTCACTCGACTGGAAATTTTCTTCACTGATTTCTTCTTCTGCATTTTACCACCATGTTTGCTGTGATATTTAAACGCTTCAATATACCACAGTAGTTGTGCAATTGTTGCTTGAATTCCACTCCTTTCACCACTGGACTTTGCATTTTTCAAGTATTTGTTCAATAATTTAATATTTCTTTCTGTTAAGGTCTTCAAGTTCTCAATCTCATCAGCATGAGCACGAGGAAGCAACTCATATGCTTCTCTCAAAACTCGCAATAACTTCTTTCTTTGTTCATCCATCCCAAAAGATGGAGTCGACACTAACTGGTTCAGGATGGTTCCCCACCTCTTTTATACTCAAACGATGACTCATACCATAAAGAAAAAAAGTATGATGACTCATTTGTATAGAAAAAGGTTATGAGATAAGGATCATTTCATATTTCAAATCTCGAAAACTCTAGAACTCCCCCAACGTAATTCGAGAACTCTCAAGAAGGTTCTAGACTCTTCTTCCGATTATTCTCGANAGTTCAGCTGGAGCATGAATCAGTACTTGCTCGACAACCGCATTGTCATTGAGGCAGTATGGTGGAACTGAATTCAACCATTGAATTTCATCAATACTCGCTACCTCTGATTCATCCTCTGTGTTGGTGATCTTGTCTCTCAGCTCCTCGCAGAATTTCTTCAATTTCCCTAAATTGTTGATACTCTCGATTATATTTGATAAGTCCTCACCTCGAGTAGAACATTGAGAACAATTGGTTTTCCTACCAGCATCTCGCTGAGCTTCCAGGACTTCATAATTATTCCACAAATAATGCAAGTCAGTCCCGAAGTGTCTGGCAAATTTATGCAAACTTTCATCGAAATGTTCACGGATGATCACTTCATCTGTACTGCATGCTCCACCACCATTCTTATTAAAATGATTATGATAACACATTACCACTACGTCCACGTGTACGTTGTGAGGTTTAACTGTCAGAACTGTGACTCGAATTGAATGTGGACTGCGCAGATGGTGCGCGTTATATAGGGATCCCCCACCCTGATGGTAGCTTATGACTCATCTCAGAACATTCAAGAACATTAGAGAATATTCGAGATCAATCGAGAGAGAAATAACTGATATCTTCCTCATATTACATGATGATTCATCATGGTATTATATTTCATGCAAGTTCCAACAGGAATCAGGAGGTATCCCCACCATGCGCGAGTTGATGAGTCATCAATGAACCATTAATGATGGTGGTGCCACCTGGCGGTAGTTGTGTGAATGAGTATTCAGAACATTCGAAAACATGTTTGAAACATTTTGAAAACATTTTGAAACATTTCAAAAACATTTTGAAACATTTTGAAAACATTTTGAAACATTTCAAAAACATTTTGAAACATTTTGAAAACATTTTGAAACATTTCGAAAACATTTGAAACATTTAGAGCGAAGAGGAATTATAAGATACCCCACCCCGCAGAACAATGAGTCATCCCCAGATACCAGGATGACATCATCCTTCCAGAATATTTCCCGACCGTGCTGCCACCTGGCTCTCGAATATTCAGGATGACGTCATCCTTCTAGAAAACTCTACGATGGTGGTGTCACCTACGTGACAGTCGAATCCCCCCAGCGATATAAGTCCCAACAGGACTCCGGAAGTCCCCCCACCACATCCCCAAACCGATGAGTCATCATGATAACTCACCGATGACGTCATCCATCTCGAAACTTCTGCGACTGTGGCGCCACCTGGTGGCGGGCGCTGGAACTTCNTGAATGAGTCATTAAGATTTTGTGAGCGATTTTTGTATTATGAAACTAACAATAAAGTTATGAAATCATAAAATTTCAATGTATTCACTCTTTCTTGTGTTTCCCTACATTTTCCATAACAAATATTCAATTAAAAAATAAAATATATATGGCTAATTGATGAAGTTCAATAGAATTAAAGCTTTAAAAGTGAAAAGAAAAAAGTTTACGTAGGAGAATCGAATTGGAACTCCAGGATGCACTCGCTACCACTGAGCCATCCTAGAAGATATTTTCTGACATCAATCTATCCTCCGATGGAGGATATAAAAATAAATAAATCAAGATAATCATGTATATTAAAAGATAAATATATATATATNTGATTAAATCTGACATATTACATATGAGGTATTCCACGCCAAATGAGCCAACCGCTGACCCTCACCCTCTTGGAAATTGATGGCGATTTTTTCTACGATTGGGAAAGTTGAAAAACTATATCTCAAATTTTTTCAGATTTTTTCGGCAGCCCAGTTCGGAGATATGATTTTTGTTTCGTTTTTCCGGTTTTTTTCAATCTCGTTATTAGGGCCCGAGCTGCAGCATCAATGGAAACAGGGCATCGAGCCCCACGCTTCTATTTTATAACGAGATGACGCACAAATCTTAATTCGATTGATTTGAAATTTGATGTTTCATACGTTACAGTCGTATCGTTAAATTTCGGAATCATCGATTGGCGTCATCTAGATGTAATGAAGAACAAATCTGCTTGTACTCCATCAGATCTGAGGGACTCTCATTGGAGAAAATCAATTATTTTATAGTTTTATGTGCAGTATCATACCTGTTAAATAAAAGCGTTTCTTAAAAAATTTTTTTCCATTATATTTTTTTTCTATTATATTTTTTCTATTTTTTCCTATTGTATTTTATATGTAGAAAAACGAGACGAGACAAACCGAGGCAAAAACCGCGATTTTACATTAAAAAAAAAAAGAAACTTGAGACCGAAATGAGATAAATGGAGTCGAAGTCATCACGAGAGGAGTCGATACTACGTATTTTGAGACTGAGACGAGAGTAATGATTTCCATGTGTATTGAGA